AACATATAAAGAACTCAGATGCCTCAATGCCCAAAAAGCAAATAACCCTATTAAAATGGGCAGAGGATATGAATAGACAGTTCTCCAAAGAATAAATTTATATGGCCAACAGGCACATGAAAAGATGCTCCACATTGATAATCATCAGAGAAATGCAAATTAAAATCAAATGATACATCACCTCACACCAGTTAGGATGGCCAACATTCAAAAGACTAGGAACAAATGCTGACAAGGATGCAGACAAAGGGGAACCCTCCTACACTGCTGGTGGGAATGTAAACTAGTTCAACCATTGTAGAAAGCAATATGGAAGGTTCCTCAAAAAACTAAAAATAGAAATACCATTTGACCCAGGAATTCTACTCCTAGGAGTTTACCCAAAGAAAACAGCTTCTCAGTTTCAAAAAGATATATGCACCCCTATGTTTATCACAGCACTATTTACAATAGCCAAGATATGGAAGCAACCTAAGTGTCCATCAGTAGATGAATTGATAAAGAAGATGTGATACATATACACAATGGAATACTATTCAGCCATAAGGAAAAAAAACAAACCATACCATTTGCAACAACATGGATGGCACTAGAGGGTATTATGCTCAGTGAAATAAGCCAGGCAGAGAAAGACAAGTATCAAATTATTACCCTCATTTATGGAGTATAACAACAAAGCAAAACTGAAGGAACAAAACAGCAGCAGACTCACACACTCCAAGAAGGGACTAGCGGTTACCAAAGGGGAAGGGTGAGGTAGGATGGGTGTGGAGGGAGGGAGAAGGGGATTGAGGAGTGTTTTGATTAGTACACATAGTGTGTAGGGGGGTTCACAGGGAAGACAGTGTAGCACAGAGAAAATAAGTAATGGCTTTGTGGCCTTTTACTACACTGATTGGCAGTGACTTCAGTGGGCTGTAGAGGGGACTTGATAATATGGGTGAATGTAGTAAACACAATGTTTTTCATGTGAAACCTTCATAAGAGTATATATCAATGATATCTTAATGAAAAATAAAATAAATAAAAAAAGATTTTCCCAAATAACCTTTTAGAAATGTGTTTAATTCCACTTAGGACCCAAGGGGTTCAAAAAGTTATCCAATTTGTAAATATTTTATATCTTGTGAGGATAAACTAAAAGGAAAATGTCAACTTTATCACTTAAAAATTCTATGCAAAGGAAAAACCAAAAGATCATGTACAAACATATCTCAGGTAGTTCAGTTGTAATTCAAACTTAAGTTATATAAAAACAATGGAGAAAGGAAGACAAGGAACCCAAACCTATTTTTTCCCCACTAGTCATATAAGAAAATTAACAAGAATGTTTTTAGAAGTTTATTCTTTATAGTTTTATCTTGTTTCTGGAAAGAAAGTGTGCATTTTCAATGTCATCATACCTGGCACTCTTAAAGGAAAAGATAGCCAAAATTTTTTGACTCCTCTGCTGATCTTACTTGAAATTGAATGTCTACTTAGTATTCAAAATGAAGTATCAGTGCTGAGAAATTTTTATTCCTGTATTATAATTCAGCTCATTAAAAAATTAAATGTTTTAAAAATCAAGCTGAATAATAATGACATTTTAAGAGTGAACTTTTAGGTTTACTTTTGTGGTGATGACATTCACTGTTTGCCAAATACTGACTTTAACTCTGGCCACTTGGATCTCGGAATGGGCAGTGCCCTTCATATGCACCTAGGAGGAACTCAAGTCCCCTCTCTGACTGGGTAAACCTCGGAAAGCAAGCCCTGCTCTGGGCAAAGCTCTACCCATCACCTCTGCCACTGTGACTATGTCTCTGCAAAAGAATTCCTGTCTCAGTTGAAAGTTTTCCATTTTTCTGATGATAGAATTTCTGCCATTGTCAACAGAAGAAAATTTATGTGCGTTAGACAGACAAGCACTATTAAATTAACTATTTTTTGACTGATTTTATTGTTTAAACAATAATCAGATTTGGAAGCCTTAAAATAAAAATAAAGAAACTGTGTGTGTGTGTGTATTTTTCTGTAAACCTGTGTTTGGTGTGCAAAATGACCATGGTGACCTTGAAGGGGGAAGAAGGAGTCATTTCTTTAGAGATATTTTTTATGGTTTTATTGTGTAACATATGAGTAGTTATTTTGGAGAATGTATAAAACACCCCTAAATTTAAATAACTCACAAGGCTGAAGTCAGGAAGCCATATATACTGACACAATGCTTAGGAAATGAGAATTTGAGACAAATTTTCTATCATTTTCCTTATCTGTGCATTAATTCTATTGCCTTTAGGAGCATAATATCAAATGTATATATCCAACTCACCTATGCCTTTAATACACAAATGGTGGTCAGGTAGGCCAGACAAAAAGAGGTTCTTTTCTCTGCCTTTCTTCTCTGCAGTTCTGCTCTCATTTTCCCACCAGCATAACGGACCCCCAGCTGTGTGATGGCTCCACCCATCCCTACCACCACACCTGACCCTGTGTCTCAGAAAGGGTAAGAGTCAGTTGTGGACCTCAAAGTCTGCCTTTCTTTCTTTGTCTCTTCTCCCCCATGACTCTCTCAGCTGGTTTTTCTGAAAAACTCCAGAATAGATTCACTCCCTTCCCTTAATCCCTCTCCCACTGCTATTGTCATGGTTACTAGATTTTAACCCATAAACTCCTCTAAATGGATGCTAGTAATACTAAGGCATTATTATTAATGTGGGGCATTTGATAATGACTACAGTTTTGTAATAAATTGTCCATAGATTTTGAGATGAATATTTAGTAAAATGTAAAATGGTATAAAATCTGGATTCCCTTTAAATGCATTGACAACTGAATAGAGAGAGAGAGGAGAAAGGAAAAGAAAAGAGAAAGGAAGGAAGGAAGGAAGGAAGGAAGGAAGGAAGGAAGGAAGGAAGGAAGGAAGGAAGGAAGGAAGGGAGGGAGGGAGGGAGGGAGGGAGGGAAGAAGGAGAAATAAAAGGGAAAATGAAGCAAATGTGGTAAAACTTTGATAATTATTGATTCTGGGAGATGGGCATATGATGACTAATTACAGTACTCTCCATGTGTGGGTACATCTGAACACTTATAATAAAAAAATAATAAAATGAAAAATTGCTCTGGCCTGTTACAAATAGTACAATTGAATGTGAATAATCTAAAACTAAACTGGAGAATTTTTGAAGAATATAGATTAGAATTTAGTTTTTGTTAATTGGGTAATATAAAGCAGTAAAAGTGCCCCTGAGAAGGAATTAAGAGGGCTGCATATGTGTGTGTGTGTATGTGCACATGTTTTCAAGTGTTCTATCAAGTTCAATTCTTCAAAGAAGGGTACTTCAAAGCTGCACTGCAGGAGCCACCAATGGTCGAACTAGAAAAGTCTCCCCAGTTAATGCTATCTATGAGTAGGTATGGAGTTTGCCTTCTAAATAGAAAAGCAAATGCATTTCTGGTATCACAAGTAACCATTCTGCCTGAATTCCTTCACTGAACCCTCACCTCTGCCCTTTCATGCCCACTTGACCTAGTGGTTAGGGTCTGCGTGTTATTATTTGGACAGCGTTATTCACCATACAACATTACAGGCAGGGGTTAGAATCTTGCCACTGAGAAAGCATTAAGTCCTAAGTAGTTAGCATAAAAATTAACCCTTTGCGTCTGCATGCTTCTACCTTCTCAATGTTGGTACTTTGGAAGGCATATTATTGATTGCAAAAATAATTTGCTTTTACCAAATTAGTGCAATTCTATGCCAAGGACTTAGCTGGTAACTCCACCAAAAACAGAGTACGAGAGAAAGAGAGAGAGAGTGAGCAAGCAGCAAATTGTTATATTTTGTAAAAATGCTAGAATACCTCTCCTTAAAACTGGAAACATAGGGCTGAAAACAAAATTTTTTTTTAGTAAAGAATACAGTGTGCAAGAGTTGGCTGGAGGCCTCATGGTCCCTGGCTTCCTGATTGTGTCATCTAGAGTTTCTGTTGGTTGGCAGTAAGGTCATACCACATTCTGGGAATAAAATCCCTTGTGCTGCCCTCATTGTATAATGCTTTCCCCTGTTTGGTAAAGTTCTAGAACTGGTTCGGTTTTGCCTTAGAATTAAACAATATCAGAAATAATGAACTATATTCATAATACCTTTTTCCTCTGAGAATTACCACCATGTTCAAGTCCAGTGAATTAACTAGCTAGCCCTCCTTCGTCTTCTGCATGTATTTGAACTTGGTCTTAGAATTTAAGTTAAATGAGAAATAGAGAGGTAAGAAAGATAGCGGTGGGGACTTCAGTTCATACCTTGTTCATTAGGTATACAATCTTCAGGTCTTTCGTGATCTTAACATTCTAATCAGAGTTTCTGCACATAGGTGATCAAGAAACAATTCTATTTTTCCTCTCCATTGATTACTGGACTTGAATAATATGATACATTTTATGTGTGTTGCAAGATGCATTGGCTTGATAGCCTCTTGGGCTCTAATTGAATGATATGGCTCATTTTTCTTTTTATGGGTAGTAAGGTAATCCCCTTTAATATCTAGAGCCATAAACCATGATGCTGTTGTCATTCAGCCCAGTAACAATAATGGTGATGCTGCTGATGAAACCTACAAATTAAATCTATTAGGAGTCCAACATAATAACATAATTGGTCTGTTATTAATATAACTTCACCTTGTTAGTTATGCTACTTAAGTGGAGAAGTGGAATATCTAGAAGGATTTTTATGACTTAGGAAATGGTAATTATTTTCTTCTCTAAAAGTTAACTTTGTGTATGTAACATGCACGATAGAATCATTTTCAAACAGGAAGCGGTCCAAACAGATATCGTCAAACAAGTCCACTGTGATCTCAGGGTTCTGTATCCAATCCAAAATAAAACATGAGTTTCAAACTGGTGAAATAACAAATTCAGAATGTAGATAAAGACCTCAAATCATTTTTCTGTGATCAAATTACATAGGTGTTATTAATTTTATTTGTTACAGTATATTTCACTAATAATTAATCCTACCTTTAGGAGATATTCCAACTACTGGTGTCATAACAGGACTTGGGAAGGATGTTGTCTTTGGTGTCAATTCAGATGTGTTTGCTGCATTAACTGTTGCTGAAGAAAGGTTTGCTGAAAAAAATAAATTGTGTTAAAATAGTTGCATTAAAATTTAGATTTATTTTGCCAGACAACAGACTAGTATATTTAAACAACGTAAATTGTATATATACTGCTGTTAACCCCGGCAATAGGATGTGAATTTGGAATTGATTTTCTAATTGTAATGAATTCAGCTTTGAATTCAGTATTCATTCATTAACTCCATCTGCTTCTCACTAATGGGGTGAATTTTCTACATGGCTGGCAGGAATAGTCTGCAGTTCTACAACAGAATATCTAACAAAAGTAGTCAGGAATAAATGTGTCAATTTGAAATTTAATAATTTTAACCCAATTAACCCAACACTGTCAGATGAAATAATTAAATAAACACTCTGGGAAGTGGATGTTTTATAAATATTTTTATAGTACATTAATGTTATGAAGTAGAAAATGTCAGTATTGAAAGCCCTCTTCTTTATACAAAGCATTCTCTTTACTTTTTTTCAAAGAAAGACAATGCATTTTAAAGGAATTCAACAATTCAAAAGTTCTATAAATTGTAAAAATCAAAAGCACAGAAATGAAGGCAATATTTTGTCATGTATATTATATATTTTTAATAATTTTTTGCAATAGAATGTCAATATTTACCAATAAATTCTTGAAGCTTTCACTGAAACATTATTTTTCAGAGTGAAGTATGTAAGACTTAATTCTCAGTGCTCTATTGAAAGATATCATACATAATATTGCAATTCATTAGCATTTATACAATCTTTTTAATCCTTTAAAATTTTTTAATCTTTTTGATCTGTTGGTCTTTTCTCTGTACACTCATTGTTATGTTGAGGATCAAAACCCAGCAAGCTGATGTCTACAAACAACTTGGAAAAAGTATTCATGTCCATGAAAGGCATTATTTTTCTGTGAGTACTTCATCTGTAGAGAGTAAATAGAGTATAGGACAGTGTTAGTTAAGAGAATGGTCTTTAAGTAACAATAACTTATGTTCAAATCCCAAACTGGATGCGTCATTCCAGTCAATGCATGTTATTAGTATGACTTCTCAAGTTTAAATTTCATCCAAAATTTTTCTCTTTGAATCTGAAAAATACCAATAATCTTCCACGTTTTTAGTAAAAAAAATATTTCAGATGCCATGGGATAGTGTGCACTTCCTGTTTCATTTTATGGACTTGAGGTGCTCAGAAGTGCTCTCACTTAGCACTGACTTTGCTTATAGACAACACGCAGAACTTGCTTGATGTATTCAGCATGGATAGATGTGTTCAGCACGTAGAGGAACCACAGACCTGCCTTTTCACAGGCTTTACAGAAATAAACTTAAAAGCTTTTTTCACCTCTGGAGATAAACTTCGCACCCTGGTCTCCCCCTGACTCCAACCCCCACCCCAGCCCATACTGAGCAGGAAGAAGGAAAACAGCATGTATGAGGTGATCTTTTCTCCATTAGTCATTTTGTTCTTGCTACCTTTCTTTTCTGTCCTATTGCCTGTGATACAGCAGTAATTTCTAAGTTTAAACTAAAGTTGAAGAAGTTATTCAAAGCCCATACCACTCTGACTGGAAAATTCACCTGTATGTGACATGAAGTATCTCCATCTGTTGACTTGCTAAATAGGAACTACTTTAATTTTGAGTATAGTAAACATCTCCAGAGATGTTTTAGCTATTTCTTTCCTCCCTCTCTTATTCTCTCCCCACAGCGCACCATCTACTGGGTAACTAATATGAAAGCCATGATTAGATAAAATAAAAGACTTTATACTGTACCACAAAGTGTCCCCCTTGAGTAGCTCTCAATCTGGTAGGAAACATGGTGCCTACACAGAAAATGATAAAGGATATTCTGTATGTAGACAAGTGTTTTTCAAACTGCAGGTTATGATACAATTAAAGAGTAATTAAAATTTATTTAGTGGATTGCAGTCAGAGCTTTTGCTAAAATAAAAGAAAAGAGACAATATTAGAGTGATATTGCAAATAATGAGGATAGGTATTGTTTCATGAAGGTCTTATTTGTGTGTGTGTGTGTGTGTGTGTGTTTGAATGAAATGTGTATCAATGTAAAATACATTTCTTACTGTGACTGCAGCTAAAAGTTTGAAAGCTACTGGACCAAAAAAAAAAAAAGTGGACAAAAGTATGTAAGACAAAAGATGGCCACCTTGCTGGCATGCAAGGACTACTTAATAAAAGGGTTGACATAGGAGCTAGAGCTTGAAGAGTTAAGTAGTACGTACACATGAAGAGGAAAGGGCATGATGAGCATGAAGTGAGATTGAGGTGACTGCAAACAGTTCTATTTGGCTGTATTGCTGTATGCTGTGAAAGGACATAGCAGACGTTGCTGGTGTAGTTCTGGAGGCCAAATTTTAAAGTACTATGAACACCAAACCAGAGACTTGGGATTTTATCAAGTCAGTAGGGGGCTATGGAAAGTGACCATGGAAATTCTGTAGGAAAAACAATGGGGAGATGGGTGGGGTAGAGAATGAGAAGAAACTAGTTAAACCAAACTGAAAGCCCTCATTTTCATGTTTACAGTGTCCTTTGCCCTCTTGAAGCCATCACGTGAGATCAGTGAGTTCACACACATAAAATGACTTGAGGCAAACTACAAGTAGGCAAATTTCTAACCACAGATGTGGTAAGATTGAGATGTACTGGAAGGCTCTTCCTCTTTACCGTCCTTCAGCACATCCTTGCACACTGATTTCCCCTGAGTAAAACCTTATAACTCATCAGCACTCACTCATGTCTCCATTATTGGTTCTTTAGGTTGTTCACCAGAGAGTATTCCCTCTTTTGGTAAAGACTGGTGAACACCCCTCAAAGTATTGTGTGTCGCTGTGGGCCAGGTTCCACATGGGCACTTTCTGGGGATTGTCTCATCCAGTCCTAACAAAGACACTATATCCATACTCTTACAATCACCGTTTTCTAGTTGAGGGGACACTTAGGTTCAAAAAAGGCAAGCAGCTTGTCCACAGTACAGACTGGAAAGAAATACAGTTGGAATTTTCATCCAGACACCCTCTGACTCTAGAGAAAACATGTTTAACCATCACACATCCAGCCATGGGGAGGTGGCTCCATACAGACACACAGTCCCGCCTCTACCTGCTCTATGTCTTTGACAGGGTGGGCTGTTAAAGAGTGGAAGTGACCAAAGGCACAGATGTTTGACCCTATGAACCTAGGATGAGGAAACAGACAAACTATTGCACTGTTTTTTTACTTAAAAAGTAGCATTCTTTCTGTCCTATGCATATATATACACATACATATGAAATGTTTCCATATTAGTCTTAAAGCTTTAAAAGAAACTTCCAATCTCCTAAAACTATTTATAGTTGAAAAATAAAAATAGAGATTTATTAGGTTGGAAAAATTCTGCAAATAGAAACTTTCTCTTAAGATAGGGTGGAAAAAAATTATTCCCTCTAACTACCACTGTTGAAGGTTTTATTGGCCATGATTCAAGTAAATACCAGTTATGCTTTTACCATACTATCTGTTAATTTCTTCTAGGTATGATCTAACCTCATAAAAAACTATTGAGGAAAATGGTTTATTCTGAAGTATTTTCTCTTTATAGGATATAGCAAGGTAGCAGTATTCCTCTCTTTATCTCCACAGAGATTAAAGATAAATTTAACAAGAATATCTTTGCTTCACGACTATGCCTGTGCCAAACCAGCGCTGCCCTTGGGATATTGTAAGAGAAAGAGATGGCATTTTGTCCCGATTCCACTCTATTTCCATACATCCAGACCATGACACTAGTTTCCTATATGCTGAAGGAATGAAGCATTACTGGGATTTTAATAAAATCACTATTTTAATTGTAAAAAACATGAGAATGTTAAAAATTTAGTATACAGCTGGAAACCAAGTATCATATTTTCTACAGTTTTCAAAGCATCAAGTCATCTACTCCAATCTTCTTAGACATGTTCTGTAATTACACCTCTAGGTGACTCACAAATAGCCTCCAAACATTGGAATTCCACTCATCCTCGTAGTGAGTCTCTCTGTCCGGCAGTTATCTTTTCCTCAAACTATGTTAAAATGCACAGCAAATCCTACCACAGAGGGCAGATCTTGCTTCTTCTAGATCAACACAAATGCTGAATGACAGTAACTTAGAATCCTAGAACCTGAGAACTAGAAATAACAATTTTTAATACCCTAGTATAATAGAATCTCTACATTTTATAAATAAGAAAATGTATGAGTTTAAGGTAGATTGAAAAAATCATAGCACCGATTAGTAACAAAGTTCCTTTGATTCCCAATTCAGCTCTCTATTATGTAATATAGAATAATCTTTTTCCCCCTAATTCTACTACTTGGGCATGAGGAATGGACTTGTGGCTGAGACAGTGCTGAAGTTTTCCTATGAACTATCTCTGGGAAAATATTTACTTTGCTATTTTTAACCTAAATGAGATTTCAGAAAAAAGTTTTAAATTCTTTAAGGGAATAGAAGAGTGACTTCTTTAGAAATATACAACTCTAGTATATATAAAATGTTAATTACTAATAAATGCTCAAAGTACCATTATTAGATAATAATTTAATAACAAAGATCTAGTAGATAATTTTATATGTCAGTGACTTATAATGTATTATTTACACTAATTCATATTGTCTTCATGCAGTGCTTCCTTCTATATATCCCTATCCACTCAGGCTTTCAGAAATTTTATAGAGATTTTGCTTTGAAATAAAGTAATTTTCAGTTGTTCAATTATCATTTGTAGATGCTTATCCCTGATTTAGTACAACTTATAATAAAGGTAGGTCCATTTCTCAAGTTTGCCTATGATGGCAAATGCATACATCAGGGTATGATAGATGGTTGAAGGGTCTTTTTCATAGTATTTTGTGAGTAATTGTTAGTATTATAATTATTGTTCAATTAATACCCTGTATCTTCTTTGTTGGTAAATGATTATTAGTGAAGTTTAAATTGAAAATTTCAATTTTCCCTCATACAT